ATGTTATATGTATATATGGCTATTTTATTATGCACTAGCATAATAAGCAGTCTGATGCATTTAACAACTGTCTGAGTGAATGGTAAACAGGACAAGTTATTTGCCTATGTTTTCTGAGGTCTATGTCAAATCACAGGAGAGGAGAGGAAAGAGGCAGAAAGCCACTTCTTTACACGGAGTGAAAAAAATGAAATGTAAATCTGTGAGCAAAAAGTAAAATGTATATGAGCATACAGGCATGAATGCTGCGCTGTAATGCCACGAATAGTCTTCATGTCTGTTAATTTGCTTTATTGGATTTACAGTCAGTAAGATAAATCAAGTCCCAAACAAGTGGCAGTGCTCCATTTACCAAGGATGGGAAAAACAAACAAACCATAACTTGGCACATCAACATGACTAAAGGACAGAACCCATCACAATCAGAAGAGTGCTCCAAGCTGTGGACAAAATGAAATTATTCCCCTACAAAAACATCAGTGCTTCTGTGGCTCATTCATACTGCTATCCTTGACCAGCCACTGTAGTAAAGCAGAGATTAGGCAAATACCCAGTTAAGAGAGAGATGAGTGTAAACAGAAAATAGAATCAAGCTATTCAGGGATCAGAGATGAACATTATTTTTCACAAGCTTGATCTTTGGGTACAGGCTTCCTGCTTGAAATAATTCAGTAATATAGCACATTGAGCTTTTTGTGACCTCAAGTAGAATAGTTCAGAGAAAATTTTTCCTTCTCTGAACAAAACAGGCAGCCAGCTTTCTTCTTTCATTTCCCCATGAAATACAATGCAAGCAATTGCACCAAGCAATGAATTAAATATTATTAATTAATTGGTTTATGGTTTCAAGTGATGTTTTCATCACAAAGACCTAGTTAATGAAAAGCTACAACAGACCACAGTGTCACTGACAGTCAACCTGAGTTTAATCAAAAGGAACACATCCAGTTACTGCCAGTAGTTTCCCTGGGAGAAGAGATCAAACCCCACCAGGAGCAAAGGAGGCTACAACCTCCTTTCAGGTAGTTGAAGACAGTGATAAAGTCTCCCCTCAGCCTCTTTTTCCCCAGGCTAAACAACCTCAGCTCCCCCAGCCACTCCTCATAGGATCTGTGCTCCAGACCATTCACCAGGTCCGTTGTCCTCTGTTGCTTCAGCACCTCTATGTCTTTCTTGGAATGAGGGACTCAAAAATGAACAGGGAATTCCAGCTGTGGCCTCACCAGTGCCAAGTACTGGGGAATGATTACTTCCTTAGGCCTACATACTGAAGTACCAACCTCATACAAAGTGGAAAGTCACTCTCAGAAAGTATGCTTAACTAAACCATCAAGGATGTTGGAGCAGAGACATCAGAGCCAGCAAGGCTAAGTACTGCCCTCACCACAGACCAGGATCCATCATGGCACACATTCAAATGCTGATACTGTTCAATAACCACGATGACAGGACAGTGAGAGGCACTATGATGGTACCATAGAATATCATTTGCCACATCTCCGCCAAAAGCAACAACCCTAGTCAATTCATTTAGATGATTTTTTTACTTCGCATCTCACTGCTCTGTGTTCTGCACAGTTTGTACAAATGGATTTGAGCTCTTTGCTCCTCTATTTATAGTGCTGGACTAATGTTGGACCAGAGATACCTTGCTGCACTCTTGTTAATACAAAGCACATCTTCACCCTCAGTTTTCAGGTGGAAAGTGCGTATTCTTCCTCAGTTCTTCAGCAATTCTGTTTACAAAGTAAGTCCTACCTCTCTGAGAATCAAAACTTGCCTTCATACAAAACAAGCTCTGTCCTTCTCTGAGGCATAGTCTTCCTCCACACCCTTCTGCAATAATACCAAATCTTTTCCATTCCTGGTTTTAGCCATCAAAATGTCATTAATTTCTCTAAGCTGCATGTACTGCAACCTGAAGCATGATGTTTCTTACTCACCTTCCATCTCCACTGATGTGATCTACCTTGCCCTTGCTGGTTCTTGGACACAAAAAAGCAGACCAAGTATTAGCAAAGGCAAAGGACAAAAGAGGTTGTTTGGAAGTAGAAATTGCAGAAATTTCCTGCTTTTCACTATTGAAAAAAATTTCTCTCCTAACAGATGCAGGTCCTCTCAGTTTTTCCAGAACAAGAAAAGAACTATAGTACCTACATATATTCTTGAATCCTTTGCTAATAAAGTGGTAATGAAAGACCTGAACATTCACAGGCAAATGTTCACTTATTAGTGCTGAAATGTAACAAAAAATAATCCAGTATATGCCACAATGCTTAGATGGACACCTAAACCCAACAGAAATCACTGTCTAACATAACTGAATTTTCACTGGGATATCACTTCTCTTTTGAGACATGAAAATATCTTTGTAAGGTCTCTACTTATGCATTCAGTCACCATGCCTTCATTAAAACCTTTTACTCTTAAAAGAGAGAGTGAAAGAGGGGGAATAAAACCCTCTTTGAAAAAGAGACTAGTTCAAAAGCATAATGTTGCTTGAACTGGCCTAAGCTAACATATATCATCAAGATTTTTGGTTTCATAGAGAATCTCACTCAAACTTTCATGGTCTATGAGATTATCACGCATGAAAACTATCAGCTGTGTCCGGTACAGATGCAAGGACATGTCACTTCAGCTAAAACTCAAAGTGCTGATTGGATTGCAGCCTTTAACTATAACTTACTTAAGGCCTTAGACCTACAGACCTTAGACCTTATATTACCAGCTGCCTTCTTAGACCTTATACTACTAGTGCTAATGGGACCAGGAACAAGGCCTCATGTATTATTCTAAAATTCATCAACACTTCGGAGGGAACAAGACAGAATTTAAATTCCCTGCTTACTTTCAACAGTTTTCAAACTGTTTGTTTGTCAAGCAGGCACTGAGTCTATAAAATAATAAAAGCTCCAGGCTCTTTGATGTAATTAGTTCCTGCCTTTTTTTACATATGAATTACACTCATCCCTATATCCGGCTGACAGAAAATTTTTACACAGGATGGATAAATGTCTTCTTGTAGTTCAATATAGCTCGAATTTTATGTATCATGACCCACTTCCAGTACACTGCTCTTTTTTAGGAGACAACCTAATGAAATCATTGTACATGAGCAATCACCCTAATCTAATCTGTAATCAAGCCTCTATGTTTTATCAAGAATCTGCTGTGCAGAAATATGCATCTATAATAAATTCACTTGCCAACATCGCTCACTTTTCTGCAACTTGAAGATTTATTAGTGCCAGCCCTTCTTTCCCAAAGGAGCAAGCTCTATGGAAATGGGAGACTTCACTCACGTATCAAGTTTTAGTAATATGCCAATCATTTTACCCTCATTAAAATGCCACTACTGCTGAGTAGAGTAACAGCATATGACAACAACACTATACCAGGAAAGGAACTGTGTAATATTTTTTGGAAGAGCACAAGAAATTTAACTACAAAGAACATAACTCATTGAACTGGAATTTGGACAGCACTCTGAGAACCACATCACTGTCCACGCAAAACACACTAGAAGCTTTTGAGGGTTGATTTATGCAGTGGGTGCAATCCAGGAGCAATCCCACTCTGCCCTCAAAGTGAGACTCTAGACATGGACTAACCCTGGTCTTGAAACCATACAGAAGTGAAAATGCGGTGTTGCATGCATTCCTGTAAGGTTTAATCCTAAGCAGTAGCAATTGCTGATCTTCTTTGGCTTCTGAGGACCTGGCAAAAACACTTTAGATTTTTTAATGGTTCTGTTAAAAGTAAATCATGCTCCCAGATAACACACACCTAACACAAAAAAATTCTCCCCATGTTTGTATTCCGTTGTCCCAGATTGCAAGTTTGAGACTGAGCAAGTTGCAAGGGCAGGTTGGTAGGTATCAGCTCTAGTATATATAGTAGTGATAAACTATAAACTGAGGAAGACAGAATAAATAGATTTACCACACAATTTGGATTGAGTGGCATCAGGCATCCCACTTCTCTCATATTTAGCTGAGCAGAGTCAGTTCTAAACCAGATGGAGTTTAGTAAGGGAATTTCCACAAGGGATGCTATATGACAGGACTGCTGCAAATTAGCATCTCAGAGATGCAGCCATGCAGAAATGGGTCCAAAAGAAGAATATGCTTTGGTGTAACTAAGACAATTATCATCCTTTCTACTTTCTAATGCTTAGGGGTTTTACTTCGCAAAACTCAGTATTTAACTTTGTTATTTTATCTGGCAACAAGATCTGCAGGCTCTTGCCAATTAATAGCTTTATTGGCATTCAATCAGATTTCAGGATGTCCAGGTTGAAGTATCATCCAGTCTGTTAAAGACATTGTTTTCAGTGCTTACTGAAATTATGGACATGGGGCACAAGTACTCTCACCAAGAAAAGGGAAAAAAATAATTTTATTAAGGATTAAAGTGTTATCAATTTCATGGTTAAGCCTTTAGTTATACTTCTCATCTCTGCTGACTGCTCTGATTTACAGGCAAGGGAAATAGTTTAAGGATTTACAGAAGTGCAAACCTCTCTCCTGGTACTCTCCTTGTGCTCTCCTTTGCCTCTCCATGTCCAACATCACTCTTCTGATAGGGTCAAGGCAACATCTGACCCCCTACCTCCAGGCTACACTGGTAGACACCATTTCTTTCTGGTTCATCAAAAGAGTTCATGGTTTGGTTTCATGTCCTCCCTGACCCATGCACACAGCAAGGTGGCTGCATGTTCTCTCCCATGAAACAACTGTAACCAAAATTGACCTAAAAAAGCATTCTCCCCTGTGGCTGCAATATCCTTTGTCCTGGAGTAGTGCGCCTGGCCTTTGCTCAGCTAAGGTCTTCCAAATCCTCTTCCAAATATATGTGGGTTCTCTACCTACTGACTTATGTGCCAGCAGGACCCTGATTCAATGCAGCATATCCTCCCAGGCTGCCTTGTCACTGAGCCAGGCCTGGTGACCACCCCTAAAACGCTGCCGCCCCTCACCTCCCACCCAGCGTCCTACCTGGCATCAACTGCGCCACTGCCTCCGGAGTGGTGGTGGGCACAGCATGGGACTGCTGCTGGCTGGAGCTGACCTCAGGCTCAGCACTCACTGAGGGCGAGCCGGCCACCTCACCACCTGGGGTGAGCTGTGGCACAGACGGGAGAGTCTCCTCAGCGGCTGGTGGCTCCTCTTGACCAGGCAGCTGCAGCGCCGAGAGGGGGATGCTGATGGGTTTCCCGGCGGTGGTGGTGGAATTGGAGCTGGTGGCCGGCACTTGCAGGGCAGCCACAGGGCCACTGCCTGCCCCCCGTGCTGGGGAGGCCAGGGGTCCCCGGGGCGGCCGCTGTGTGGCCAGGCGGGGCAGGCCTGGTGGGGAGGAGCAGAGGCGCTGCGGGTCGGGGTCGGGGCCAGTGACGGGCTGGGGCACAGCCCTGGTGGGTACCAGGCAGGAGGGGCCAGCCTGGGGCTGCGGCTTGGGCTTGGACATCTGCGTCAGGGCCAGGGCTGGCCCGTCGGCGCCGGCAGTCAGCTCAGCATTGGCCACTATATAGTAGTCCTCAGGGAGCTCCTGCTTGATCTTCTTGAGCAGCCCATCGCTGCCACCCTCATCAGCAGGCTGCGCCTGGGCGGCCGTGGGCAGCCCGGCAGCCGGACGCTTGCGGGGACCGGCGGGGGCACGGTGGGGGTGCGGCTCAAAGTCGCTGTCCTCGTCGGTGACAGAGGACTCACAGACCATGTCAAACAGAGTGGCCTCATCCTCATACTCCTCCACAGGCTCACCCAACTCCGACGGCTCGCTGCAGTAGGAGAAGTCGCAGGAGTCGCGAGTGCGGGTGCAATCCAGCTTGGTCTTCCCCGGTCGACCTGGGTAGCGCTCCAAGGGGCTGGTCTGCGCCTCTGATGGCACACCCAGCATGCTAGGACTGTCCGAGTTGAAGCTGCGGCTGTCCTGGAAGCAGACACGCTCCTGGGAGCCGGCCCGGCAAGTGGCAGCCAGTGGCCAGTGGTAGGCATGGCCAGCACTGCAGCCCCACATGGCCGTCAGGTTGCCATGGGCCCCCTCGGAAAGCAGGTGCTTGAGGTTGGGGATGAGGCTGCAGATGGTTCCATGGCTGTGGGCCCAGCTCACCAGCTTGGAGAGGTTTTCGGAGGAGGTGTGAAGGCAGTCCTCCATGGCACAGGATCAAAAACACCTTGCTGCTGGGAAGTCAGCCGAAGACGTGGCTCAGATCACACGGTCCTGGCACTCATGGTTGCATGTTGCCAAGCTCATGCTTGCTGCTCGCCTGCAAACAGAGAGCAAAATCCTGCCCTTCAGCATTCCCAAAGCATAACCACATTTGCACAAGCAAATGAAACATTTGTAAGCTTAGCTAAACCCATTTCACTCTCATTCTCATGCCCTTCAAAACATGTTTCTCAAAACTTCGCCTGCTTTTAAGCAGCCTCATTCCTCATTCTGCCTGCAAAGAGCCTACCTTTAAACCCAAAGGAAGAAACACCCTTGCAATATACAACTAAAGATAAAACTGCTTTTCAAATAAGCCAGTTCAGTAACAGTGGCAATATGATTTGAAGCTTAAATCTCTGACAAAGTATAAATGCAGCCCAAAAGATGCTGACTGAGTCTTCATACCTAGGAAATGAAAATTAAACAAAATTTTAAAACGTACAATTAATCTTGAACACCAGAGTGGAAATCAAGCACCAACACAAATACTCACACCAGATCTGAAGAAACTATGACATTTTATGTAATTTTTGAACATTTCTCAAATGAACCAAATATCTTCTTTTCAACTGAATTTGAGAGGCATCAAAGTGAAGGTCTGAATTTGAGTTTTCAATGTAAGGAAGAATCAAACAAGGTCACCCTTCACTGTCCTATACTGATAATCCTCAGATGTTCAAAGTTTTAAGAAAAACTCAAAGGACCTGAAAGATTTAAGCCATAACCTTCCCTAAGCTTTGAGAATTAACATTTTGCTTTTTTATCATACTGTTTATTTTCCAAGATCTAAATCATGATTCAGTTCAAGAAAAACATTTGCCATTTTTATGGCAAGTACAAGATGACAGCAAAGTCTGAGCATCTCTCTTTTCGTACACCTAATGCCAGAGAAGTCATCTCAGTGACCTCAGACGGATGAAGTATCTGTGAACTTCCACTCATTTATGCAGATCTGTTTGGAGGCTCTTCCTAATTTTCTCCTATGCTTTATGAAGAGGACTTGCAAGTCTTGGAGTTCCTGTTGTTCTCATTTCAATTCTATTCTCATACAAACAGAAAAGCCCTTTACATTTTTTCCAGCTGAAATGCAGCATTCATAACAATGTTACACCTCATTTTGTTCCCTGTCCTCTTCTATATAAGCATTTTTAGATGCAAAATGAACCGTGTCATGGCTCAAAAAGCTAACACAAGGGCTAAATGCCCCTGGAGAACGCTTTCCCTAAAATCAACACAAATTACTACCTGTCTACATAGTTGCTCTTCAACATGATTTGCCAGTTAGCTGCAGATAGCAGGTTTGCTCTGTGCCAAGGGAGGAGGCTGTGTTTCAATGGTTTTGCAGCCTGCACATCCCTGCCCACTCATTCACCAGGCAAAGGTTGGCCTGTGCAAACCAAAACTGGAAACAAAATGGACAAGTAGTGCCTACAATATTCTTCACAAGGCTCCTCACGGGTCTTTACACCCTACCCAGGCCCTGAATCTTTGGTGGGGTCAAGAATGGAGCCAGGATGGAAATGTCTAGATACTTTAAAAACTTCTAGGTATTTTTCCAATATCTTTGAAATTAGGCCTGATATGGAGGGAGTGGATAAACAGAAAGAAGCAAATAATTAGGAAACTGAGATAAAATTCTGTAAAATTTAAGCTTGTTTTTTCAAGCCAGAGTGCATGCACAGAGAACAACTGCTGCAATAACTCAAATTTCAGCTTCTATTACAGCCCACATGAAACACAGGAATGGTACAGATCTCACAGCATCACCCGCAACATTAAGCTCCTCGCATGACCAGTGCCTCTGTGCAGTATAATAAATGCAGAAGGTCCCCAACTTGCAAGCCTTTTAGGCACTGGAGAAGGATCCCCTTTGCAAACATACAACTTTTAAATATCTAAAACTTCTTTTTTATGTTATTTGTTTTAAACCTTTTAAAAATTCACTGCCAAGTCTTGACAGAGGTCAAAACCCCCAAGGCATCCACATACCTTCTGAGAGACATATTCAAAGATATGTACTTCCAGTGCACCCTGCCACAGAAGAAACACCAGAAGATTGGAAGAGGAACACCAAGGCAAAGAAGACAACCTGGAAAGTGAACAGGGGAAAGCTATAGCCAGTGATATAGCCTGAAGCTGCTTCAGTGTAAACCCATGGGATACCATGGGGCTGCTCAATTGGTGCATGACCAGAGATGTATCTTGGGAAGACAGAAAGCCCAGTACATCTGAAGAACCATTTTCCCTTCAGGGAAATGAGATAAGGTTTACTGCCACGGTCAAGATTGTGGAGGGCTGAAAATCCAAAGACAACAGTTATTCAGAAGCACTGTGTCTTCAGTTTGCCAACCGCAGCAGAAGACGCCAACGGCACCTTGGCAGAGAGGGACTCATGCTGTACAAAGCACAGCAAATGCATCATTATCTACCTGGTTTCCTGAAGAAGGAACTTGTCTGCTCAGTCAAGACAGCATGATGCTGGCTGACAGTCTGCTCTTGTTTGCTAAATCACATTTCAGAGATTATGTAAGTCCATCATTCAGACTGGCAAGATCTAATAAGATGACTCATGCTTAATTACCTAGTAACATGATAACTCTGAAATCATACAGTAACTAGCAAAAACATGCTATATCTTCAAGGTGAATAACACTGGTATTTTAACTGCTTTACAGGAGCCTCCCATTGCACTTTCCTGCAGTTCAGAGCCTATAAATATCTAATTCAGAGTGAAGCATGTCTAGGCACTGGAAAGTCACTGCAGTGAGTGTAAGTGCCTAGAGTAAGTGCCCAATTTTAAGGCTTTTTTAGTTTTTACGATCTCATTTAAAACATGTCACTATAATGACTAATGTGTACAGAATACGTGCCATGTGAGAAAGCATTATTATTGCAAACCCATTCCTTGAGATCTGTGAATGCATTAAGGGGAACACCATTTGATCTGGGAAAGGGAATATTTTTGGTATCCAGAACCAGGGTTTTGCCACAGTAGATCTACTTGGGGACCAAAGGGCAATCAAGAACAGCAACCCCTAACAAGTAGCAGCCCTCTTCTATGTTCTAGGATGGGACTTGGCTTAGCCAGTGCTTGATGCACACAAAATTCTTCCTGATTTTACCCACAGCAGTAGCAACAGGCACTTTGCGAGGATGCAGAGAAGATGCACTGACACCAGGGAAGTCCCAGAGCAACACCAGTTGGTAGCTCACCAATATAAACCCTTTCCTTTATCCCATGAAGAGAATGAACAAATACCTTTGGGGAGCAAAGACCTGGCTACCTCAACTGCCTTTTCTGCTTTGGCTCCCTGCACATGAGAGTGATAGAGCGGGGTTCTGACTAGGACCTCATGGGAGATTCTTCAGAGCAAACAGGGAAATCTGTGATGTGGCTCCCTCAGAACGGAGGCAGCAGAGGTGAGGAGGCAGTGAAGTAGGATGCAGGATGAAGTGGCTAAATGGAAAAAAATGGGGTGATGCAGAAGTGTACAGTGGGAAGTGGGTGTATTCCAGCAGGGCCTGTACACTGAAGTGTGCATTTGGTGGACCCACAGCTCCAGGCTGGCGACAGTGGCATTTTGTTGTAAAGAAGGAAAGGAATCTTACTGGGATCCTGTTCTCTCACAGACTTGGGTAGTTAGGAATGGATTTCCTTCCCAGGGTAATATTAGACAAGTTGATTCAGACTAGCTTGCATCACACCTGTGTTATGTTTGAAATTCTATTACTACTACTGATTCTTAGCATTTCTATGCTGATTTTTTTCAAGGGAAAGTATTGCCAGGACTACATTAACAAAGATCTTGGATATGATGCCAAGACTGATACTTCTGAGAATTTTCTAGAAGTCCAAGATTCTCAAGTAAGACTGCAATGCCAAAATTGCTTTTGTTAATAATAAAAAACAATCTTTCTAATCTTTCTAATCACACAGCTGTATAAATATTCTAAAACCTGAACCCTAAAACTTTAAAAGACAGGTGCAAAAACCTCTGCATTTACTCATTTTAAATAGCATGGATTCCAAACCGTTCTTGCAACAGCTGAAACCTGACTTTATTTGAAAAGTTTTTATGGAGAAGCAATGTTTTATCAGCTTCTACATTCAAAAAACGTAGAAAGCATTTGGACTCTGCTTTCTCATCCTAGCAAAAGAAGCTCAGAATATTTTAAATCCTCTCTGTTTTCAGCCTCCACCCTGTCCAAACTTACCAGGCTGTTACTTCATCACCATTTGAAGGGGAAGCACTGTTTTATTTTTTGAAAGACCTATCTTTTCCTATTTAAAAGTAAAAAACCACAATTGACAGCTAACAGATTGAGAGCCCTGTGTATTAGAAGTTTAGCCACCATGGTGTAAGTATCTATCTCATTCACTGTTTTAGCTAATGGACAATATTAGGCCTTCTCATTACTAGCATTTCTAAAGCCAAATGCTTAGCACTGATAAATGACTGAGGTCAACAACAGCAGAAATCCAAGTCTCAATTCACCAGAGAAGGCAGAGTAGTACTGAGGTCCCCATAAGGTCCTGCTGCATTCACACAAGCCCCGCCAGCCATCAGTGTAGGATCACCTGTAGTATTTCTCTTTCACAAAGTAAGATGCTGAAGTAAACTCAGCAGGAGCTGCAGCCTCACCCAGATAGAGGTCCACAAATGTTGAGGGCCCCAGCTATGCATCAGAGGACCCAAAATCAGGCCACTGCTGTCACCTTCTCTGCTATCTCCTATAATGGAAATCCTACTAACAGTGGAGTTAAAGCTCAGCCTCTTTGCCCCAGTGTTTTGATTTCTCCACTGATATTGCTAAGGATGTCATCAACTTGTCAAAGAACTAGGATGGACAACTACTCAATCAAAACAGGCCAGCAAACTGGAAGGACTGGGAATACGTCAGTGCATTTTCTACAGCTGTAGACTTCAAGAGTACAAAACTTTTATGTCAACCCAAATATTATTGAATTTACTTTTTGATTGAAAGAAAGACTATGAAGCAAGAAGAAGCAGAGATAGAGAGAATGCAAGCATGTAGAAAACAATGACACCTTAT